CCTTTTTGTTCTTGATTTTAGAAATCGGAATATAATTTCAATACTCAAGATGTTTGTCTGAAATCAGTGCTTTGATTTCCTATTAATTCCAATACGTCGTGTTATGATTTCCTATTAATTCCAATACATCGTGTTATGATTTCCTACCCCTGATATCAATCACATATCAACCATAAATTCAAGTGCGTTTTCCTAATTGCATCTCCTGATACCGCATATCAACTATAATTCGAGTGTTTCCTAATTACATCTCCTAACTAATTTCCCACGATTCTCATACCGTGGTTCGGGAATCAGATTCAAAAATCCTTTTGGATATACAAATCTAAAAGTCATCGCATATGTCTAATTCTTAATTTGGAAATTGTTTCGTCTCTTGATACTGATACTCATAAATCAGATTTTGAATTCTAACCTCTTGATTTTCATGACACTAACTCGGTTTTTAAATTCAGATTGCATGAAGTTTACCTCCCCTCATGAGTTAGTTTTGGTTTGGGGCAGGCAGGTGAAGATTCTGATCAAATTTTGAGGTTTGGGTAGGGCTGGCAAGTTTAAAATGGTGGATCACCTTCGGTTTTCTTCTGCGAACTATGTGGTGGAGGAGGTCGGCTTGTCGCAAGAGGAAGTCGAGGGTTGTCTGCTTTCACTTTTCTTCGTCTCACGAACTATGGGTGGAGGAGGTCAGCTTGTCGCGGGATACAGTTGAATAAGAGGGTTAGGAAGAGTGTGGGTGGGGATCAGGTGTCTTTTACCTGCCTATGGAACAGGCGTGGGACCGAAGTGGGGGGGGGAAGTTTTTTTTCGTAATATTGCGTCCCGCTGGTGAGGAGGGCTAGCTGGCGGGATTGGATTAGGGCACAACTGCAATGGAGATGGTGGCTTAACTGTTGTAAGTCTGCACTGGAAGGCGGTAAGGGGATGGGAGGTTAGGGTGCTGTGCCTGTTTTGCGATGGAGTGAACTACTTTTTCCTCCTCCTTCGAACTATGTGGTGGAGGAGGTCGGCCTGTCGTAGGAAGAGGAAGAATTGATGCTTGTTTTTCATCGCTATGGGATTTTGGTGAAGTCGTTGGTCTATTATTCTTCTCTCCCGAACTGTGGTGGAGGAGGTCGGCTCGTCGGGAGATGAAGAAAAGTAGGGGGTAAAGGAAATAGGATGAGGGTTGGCTGTATTCATTTCGAAAAAAAAAAAAAAAAATCCCAAAAAATAGATCTCAGGGATGACCATATGCGGATGGTTGATTGGTGGTCTTAAGAATGTTTTTGAACCCTGGGTCCTAGCAACTCTCTTAGGTGGCTTCGATGCTGTTATACTCAGTGACCTATGGCTGTTCGATGCCAGAACGACGCTGGCCGGTGCTGGGGTGTTGCCCTGTGACCTGCTGACGCAGGAGCGTGAGGCCTGGTAGAGAGATCTGGGGATGCTTTGGGGTGGGCATTCCACGGGACAACTAAGGGTTGCTGCTGGGACGACGCTGGTCGGAGCTGGGGTGAGTTGTGTTGCCCTGTAACCCAGCAAGATGTGGGGGTGTGAGACCTGGAAGAGCTCGGCAGGGAGTAGGACAGTGTTGGAGTGCTTTGGAAGGGTTTGTTAGGGATTTCAAGGGTTTTTGAACATTTGTAGGACCTAGGAGGTCTATTTCTATGTTCTCCATATTGCTCAGACGTTTTCTTAAGAGACTGAGGTGAGTGGGAGAAGGAGAAGGTGGGATGTTATGCGTCCTACTAGCAAGAGGGCTAGCTGGCAGGACAGGAATAGGGTACAACAGCAGCGGAGATGGTGACTCTGCTGCAGTAAGTCTTGCCGGAGTGGGGTACAGGGGATGGATTGGGGGGTCTGAGTCTTTTAGGTGAGTGTGAGAAGTAGATGGTGGGATATCAAGCATCCTACTAGTGCGGGGGCTAGCTGGTAGGATGGAAATAGGGTACAACAGCAACGGAGATGGTGGCTTTGTTGCAGTAAGTCTTGCTGGAGAGAGGTAAAGAGGATTGATGGGGGTCCTGAGTCGGTTTCTGAATCTTGTCCAATTCTGAAGTTTGTCGTATTCTCCTAAGTAGCTCCAATTTTTTCTTAGCCAAAGCCGGGTAATGGCCCCGGTATCTCAAATTTTCAAAAATCGATGTAATTTTCCATATGGGACGCTGGACCCGGTTCCCAGCATGTGCTGCTCCCCACGAATAGATTGGAGCCTTGTTCCCATTAAAAAAAAAAAAAAAAAAGGTCCCCGGCCTCGTCTTCCATTTCTGAAGCAATACAAAGCATCACACTTTCCAAACAACAACAACAACAACAACAACAAAAAAGGAACCCTAATTAAACTCTCAATTCTTGACTCACGCACTCATCGGAAGCCAATCATCAACCCTAACCACACCCAACGGAAATGACATAGTTTTTTTCAGTTTTTTTTTTTGTTTTTTTTTTTCCTGGGACCTTCCCTAGTCTTTGAACAGCTGCACCACCCAGCAAAAAAGGGTGACCCGGGCGGCCCGGCTGGTAGCCTAGGAAAAAAATGACCCGAAAAAAAAAAAGAGGAAAAAAAGGAACGAAAGGGAAAAAAAAGGAGGGGAAAATAAAGTAAAAAACAAAAAAAGGGAAGGAAACTTGAAACTTCTATTTTTATATATGTATATATATATTTTATTACTTTTTATTATTATTTTTCTTCAAGCTTCTGTAGGTAGCTAGGGGAAGGAAACTTGTTGAGGTCCAACCTCTAGCTACCCACAGAAGCTCGAAGAGATTATGAGAAACTCCTATGGGTTGGAGACCTTTCTGTAGGTCCACCATGGCGTTGGTATGCCAGCTACTTGAATGGGTGCAGCTAACCCTGTAGCTCTTCTCCTAACTACCCACAAAAGCTTGAAGAGATTATGAGGAACTAGGACCCTCTGCGAGGCTACGCCCGCTTAGCCCCTACGGGGCCCTATCTGCAACAAGGTCGGCCGCCCTAAGTGAAGGCAGGCACAACAGGCCCTTCGGGCCTCATTCTTCAGGGTACCCCGCATCGGGGAAATTCAGACAGTTGCGTTGCGCCAGTTGGTTGAATGAATCCAGGCCCTGGGCCGCCTGTGTAAATGAATGTGAAGCAGGCCCTGGGCTGGATACGGGTACCAGGCCAAACAC